TTATTTTTCAAATCATTGTAGAAGCAATCAAAGTGCTCACAGTAGATATTTGTGGTGGGGAAGCTACAAAGGGACAAGAATAGTCACTTAGGTGAGGACTTTCCAAAATAGGAGTGTAATAAAAAACAAAACAAAACAATTTAATATAGTTCATTTGGGAAGTAATTTCAAGAAGCACAACTCAGAGAGTAGGAAAGTGAGACAGAGGAAGGAAAAACAGGGTAGGCTCAAAAAGGAGGAAGGGAAAAATTGGAAATGGAAGAAAGAAAGGGTTGGGAGGTGCAGTCATGAACATGATATCACTATAGGCATAAAAGGATTCTATTCAATATGGACCGTGGGAAGAACCTTGTAGAAGCCACATCAGAATCTTCCCAACCAGTGGGAAGTTGTGCCTGCTACCTATTGACACATATCACTTTTTTTTTTTTTAAAGATGTATTTCATTTATGCGTACAGGAACTGGGGTGTAGGCCAGAGGTGTAGGGGGAGGATGTGAGAGGATTCACCAGAGACAGAGTAGGGTGCAAAACAGTGAAATACACTGTTGAGGGGAGCAGTTGGCGGGACAGAAGAGGTTTGCTGCACCATGTGGGTTATCTCCCTGGCCAGGGATCGAACTCATGAAGCAGTGGCTGGTGATATCTTGATAGTGCTGAGACTTCAACCCTACACCACCAGGGAGGTCCTCATGTCGCTCTTAGGTTGGCATTACAAATTCCTGGCACCCTTTGTCAAACAAAACTTCCTGTGTCAGAGTCCTTGGGAAGAAAGGCAGAGAAGCAGATTTTTAAAGTAGCAGGTTTGGGGGGATGTCCACCACTGTGCTGAGGTGAGCTGATCAGTACTGTCTCCAGCATGGCCTCATGAAGGGGAGACTGATTTAATACGTGGCTGATCTCAGCCCCTAAGGGATAGCCACTCCCCAAGATTGCTATAAACTTATTTTCATATCCTCACTTCTCATTTTTCTAGTGAGTAAAATTGCTAGGGCAGTACTTCTCCAACTTTATCATCAGAATCATCAGGATTCTGATCATTCTACTGATCTCTGTACCTCATGTCTAAAGCCTCTGTCAATAGATGAGGGTGTGCCCTGAAGGATGGCATTTAAAACCAGTTTCTGAGGTTTCATGCCCACAATCGCACTTAGAGAATCACTGAGTCAAAGTGATTTCCCCTTGAGGCTTCTATTTCTATCTCTCCCCATGCCTTGGACTCTCATATTACTGAGTGGAGGGCAGTGAGGGGTGAGGAGGGAGGGGTGAGAAGAAATGTCACTGTCCTCACTTCCTGCTTCCTGCTGTTGGATGAGTTTATTCTTATCTGTACATTGGCCTTGCAGAAATGAGTGAATAAAGAGGTTCATTCGATTCAACTATGCAAAAAGTCCATTGCTGCCCTTGACTTATGCCACTGTCTCTAAATAGCGTTGTCTAGAAAGGAGGTGATGCTTTGATGTCTCTATGTCTGGCTCTCTTGTCTTTCTTTTAGATGTTTCCAAACTTTGAAGGAGAAAAATACAGATGTTCTATATAGACACCCTATAAAATCAGCAGTGTTGTGCAGAAGTTTTTTTATATGAGTAAGAAAACATATCCATTTAGAATTTTGGGTGAAGACTTAAATGATATGGAGAGAAAAGTAATAGCAGACCTATGAGTCTATTGTGAATATGGACAAGCTTCCTGCCTAAAGGGTAGTGTAAACACTGAATGATTTTAAAATTTCAAACATTCTGTATCATAAGCTGAAGATCTAAAGATGATTTGCTTTATGTAAAAAGAAAAAGAAAACCATGAAATGAATTCCACTGGTAGAGTCAAGCTCCTTTGATTTATACAAATGTTTCTTCTGACAAGGACACAGAAGCATGCTCATATTTCAATAATCTAATTTTGCATTGTTTGAAAAGAAACAGGGCTATTGATAGACTTTTATTTGGCCAGCATCAAGGGATATTTAAATAGACTTTGCACTTCAAAAACACTCTTTCACAAATTCCAATAACTTGCGGTATTTTCAGAGCTTTTTATGGCAATCAATGAGATATTTTATTTTTATTACTAATTGACAGATTGTTAAGATAAATATGTTAAATTTCCTATGAAAACCTGATTTTCTAAAGGTCTTTTAACCTCTTCTGAAAAGTGGATGGAAAATAGAAAATGAGTTAAACTAGTTTTAGAGATTTATTGGGTCCATAAATGTGCTATTTGGTTAATTAATTTGCATTTTCGTGTATTTTTTTTCCAGCGTCAAAGCTCATTCCCAGATATTCTTTTGTTTTTAGCCTATAAAGATATTCTGAGTAATCTCAAGTTTACTGTACTCATTTATGCACAAAACAGACATTTAAAGTTATTTTACGTGCAATGCAAAACAACATAAAACCAAAGAAAGGGAAATGCTCAAAGAAGGGTTTCTTGCTTGTGTAGCAAATCACATGTGGAGCTGCTGTTTTACCCCACTGATTTCTAACTATTTAATTATAAAGTGTCATTAGTCTATTGCAGTTTTGCAGTCTTTTGACATATCAGACACATTTGTGACAAAGATGGTTAGCTACCTATCCAATATTTATCCCCCACCCGTCTTTCCTTCCTTCTAAATAAATGAACCCTTAATTAGCCAAAAAGATACTTTGTAATATCTGTATTTAGAGTAGTTATTGTTGGTGTTTTCATGACAGTATTTTCAAGTGTGTTTGCCCAGGCATCAGATGTTATTTCCCTCACTCTTTTTTCCTTTTTTCTTGTTGAAATGTGAATAGAAGGACTAGAATGCCTACGACCACTTGCCATTGAGAACAGAAGCTGTGTGTTAAGCACGAAAGGGAAATACAGAATCTTGAGAATATTAGGGGGCTGTCACCCTGAACCACGGCAACTGGGCTTCTTTTATGAAAAAGTCAAGAGCACTGTTCTAGCAACTGAAGGTAATCTTTCACTGATATATAGATCTATAGATATAAAAAAGAACTTTTTTGAGTGTCTTGGTGGTAGATGTGCTATGGTTATACACATCTGAGGATGTGTAAGCCCATATCCCTGAATCGTATACAGTGATATAAACCAATGTTACCACAGTAAAATAAGATATAAAATTCAGTGGTTTAAAAAAAAAAAACTAAAAGAAAAAAAATAAAATTAATTGCTAGCCCAAAAACAAACCTGAAAAAACAAACTCAAATATAAAATAAACAAAAAGTAAAAGAACTCAAATCATTTATCTTACGACAAGCAGATTCTGATTTAGTAAATAATCACACCAAAAAGAGACAAGAAAAACAGACTTACAACAGACATTTGCACAAGAACACAGCGTCTAGATAGCGAACATTAACCATTATGTCATTTTGACCTGTCCTATCAAGATTACATACCATCAAGTTTAATGGAGATATCTGAAAATTTTACCTCAAATAGTTGAGATTAGAAATACAAGCACACATCCTTTTGCATTTTTTCCTGCTCTCTCCAATAGTTCATTCAAATGTTGCTATTGAGATCTTGATCCATGTTTAGTTGCCAACTGGGCTTTATCAGAAACCAAGACCAAGACCTATTGTGTTGCGTGCCAACAATAGTCAAACCAGGAACACCCCAATCTTTCCACTCTTTAACCACATTTTCTGCCTGACTTTCAAGCAGGGTGTTCATTCTAAGTCATCTTTTCTTCACTTGTTAACTTCAGCATCAAGGATTAATCTCTCACTTCATATCTCTCTGCATTCATTCCTAAACTTACCTCATTAAAGCTTTGATTTATGACTGTAAGTATAGTCTAGTCACAGTGATATTATCTAAATATTCAACTTTAAGCCTCACCCTTCTCTGATGTCTAGACTTTTATACTAAAGTGTATACTTGACTATTCCACCTAGATAAGCATATTTAAATAAATGAGTCAATTATATTAATCTTACTCAATTTCCAAATATGCTGCTTCTTTGCATTTAGTGGCATAACCGTTATGTCTAAATGTTTAGTTCAAATTCCTTAGATTGTTTTATAAGTTTTCTTTTTCTCTTATTCATATGCCAATCCTTAGCAATATAGTCATATCTACTATAAAAGCATATTATAAATTTGAACATTTTTTACCTCATCATCATTAACCTATATTTTAAGTCATATATCTTCCTTAGACTTTTAAAGTAGTTTTTTTATAATATCTCAGTATTGCAGTCATTTTTTAAAACAAATAAGAATATGCTACTTCATTCACTATATAATTTGATCACTTCCCATTATCTTTAGAATAAGAATTCAAATATTAATCTAGGCCCACATTGCTCTATATTATCTGACCCCAGGATACCTCTTTAAACTCATGTTCTACTCTCCTCTTAAACCATGCCAACCGCACTAAACACTTTCTTTCCCCAAAGAAAGTGAAGTATATTTCTGTTTACTTTTTGTAAATCACGAAGAAGGTAAATATACAACGGTAATGAATATGTGTATGTTCATGAGTTATACATGCAACCCTACATCCTCAATTCAACTAATTATCATTTGAATTAAACCAGAAATAAAGATCTGAATGAATGGTAACACACTAGCCAATGTTCATAGTCATTAACCATTGAGAGTATAAAATTTGCTGTGCATAAATAAGATTTCTGTATCATCAAGATCAATTGGACAGATAATCCCATTTAAATTTTGAATGCTTAGTTTATCAGTTTTAAAATCTATATGGTTATTTCATTGTTACTATTCTAAAGATGAAAAAAGTAATTTAAATTTCCTACAGCTTAAATTTTCAATTAGAAGGAGTTACTCAGTATGTCTCATGCAGAGATAAGTGGTGCAATTCACTTGGACACTGTTCTTAACTGAAAAAGGTTGTATATTTTACAATAAATCTCGAAACTCAATAATTCAAAGCCTAACCAAACTCAAAGATTTGAAAATCTGTCTTCCTAGTAATGGTGATATTCTTTGAAGATCTAGTGATACCAAAAGGAATTACAGCAACACCACATTTCTTACCATTCACTTGGAAGATATGTGTCTGATAGACTTGCTCATACCCATCTGCAAAGCAGGTATAATTGCCCATGTGAGTCGTGGTCACCTTAGTAATATACAAGGACCCATCATCTCCAAAGTCCTGCAGAAAAAAAATTAAATTAAATTAACTACTTGTATTTGAAATGTAACAATTCACTTTATAAAAAGGTATATTTAGATGCAAAGTAAATAGACAGATATTATTATTTAGTTATTAAAAGTATTATTAATCTAATAATTTTGAAAGTCCTCCAGTTACCATTTTCTTAAAACAAGTTTCATTTAAAAAGTATAACCTCGGGCCTCCCCGGTGGTGCAGTGGTTGACCGCTGGGCTGTGAAGCTGCCCGCAGCCTCCGCTGCACCGGTTAAATCCCCATCTGCTCCCCGGCCACTGGAGGAGGGTCCCACATGGCACGCAGACCTCTCCTGCCGCCCGCTGCTCCCCTCAGCAGTGTACTTTGTCTGTTGCCTGTTCTGCTCCCTGCTCTGGCTCTGGTGAATTCTCTCACCCTCCTGCGCTTCTGACTGTACCCAGTGCTTGTATAAATAAATAAAAATAAATCTTAAAAAAATAAAAAAATAAAAAGTATAACCTCACCCATAAATATAGCTTTTAATATTTATTGAGCATTTAATATACATATTAAAATACATATTTATTTAGCTTTTATTCAGTACATAGCATACATATATTTTAATAAACCCAGGAACATTATACACAGTAGAATAAAATTTCTCATTTAAAATACCATTTCAAATTTATAGGAAAAAATGCATAACCATTTTGAAAAAAATGAAAAAATCGCACATTGTCAAAATCAAATTCATGAAGCATCTCCAGAGAAGCAAAGACCTGAAAGTATTCTCTTCCATAAAGACAATGAATGTAGTAGGTAATATTGTCAAAATGAACTTCTTCAAAACTCTGGAAAAAGACAAAGACTGCCACGAATCACAGAGCATTACTCAGTAAAAGTGACTGAAGCTCATTAAGAAGAGCAAGATTCCTGGCATTGCCTGCTTGGCCACAGCTGCATGGCAGCCTTGAACCCGGATGTGCACGGTTCAAGTAGTGAAAACCATCACCCGCACAGACAGCAAAGGGTGAACAGGTTTGGAGCTCTGCCAAAACTCCATTCACAAAGAACTGTCACTATTTGACCCATCATGCATCTCCCTGAGAATGTTTATTTTTATACCTTCTTTTTATTTGAGCAAGAATTAAAGCTCAATTCGTGTTAATGGCCCTACCTCTAAAAAATGTACAGATTCCTGAAATGGAGATACTAGTTGGAGAAAACAATAGGCACAAAAATTTTTATTTTTTTATTTTTAAACAATATTTGCTTTTCCCCACCCCCTCAGGTGTAGTCCCCACAGAGTTTCCTTCCCCAAGGCACCCATGCACCATCACCTCAGTCCCCTGTGCTCCTCCCTCCCTCCCTCTGATCCCTTTCCCTCCTCCTCCCCTGCAGGATGGCTCTGATGTATAATTGTTTTTGCTTTGCTGTGTTTTGTACTATTATTGTTTTTTTTAAACTGATGTCTTATTTGGTTCCCCTATATTCCTGCTATAAGTGAAACCATCTGATATTTTTCTTTTTCCTTCTGGCTTAGTTCACTGAGCATAATTCCTTCTAGCTCCATCCACATTGCTGAAAATGGCATGAGTTTATCTTTTTGATTGCTGAATAATATCCCATTGTGTATATATGCCACATCTTCTTGATCCAGTCATCTATTTTTTGGCATTTGGGTTGTTTCCAGGTTTTACCTATTATAGAAAGTGCTGCAATAAACATAGTGGTACAGGTGTTCTTTTGAATCAATGTTTTTGTGTCCTTTGGGTAGATCCCTAGTAGCAGAATTGCTGGGTCATATGGTAGCTCCATTTTCAGTAGACTGAGGAAACTCCAGACAGATTTCCACAGTGGAAATATCTAGCAATGCCAAAAGGAATTACAGCAACACCACATTTTGCACTCCCACTAGCAATGTAGGAGAGTTCTTTTTTCACCACATCCTCGCCAACATTTGTTGTTGCGTGTTTTTTTTTTTTTTTGATATGAATAGGCACAAAACTTAAAAGGAAGTTTTCCACATCCTTAAAAGTCAAAAAAACAAAAAACAAAAAAACAAAAACTTAAAAGGAAAATATCTCTAAAAAAATTGAAAGGAAAATCGAGTAACCAGGATGCCCATGGGGAGATTAAAAAAAACTCTGCATTTTTCTGTGCATCTAGAAAACAATACAAATATACAGTCTGTGTGCATGCCTCCAAATGTTGCATTTATTGTACATTTTGTGAATAGGGTGAGAATCCCTAATATCTCATCTCTGTCTGACCTTGAGTCTCTACACAAGCATGGAGTGAAGACTGAGACAGATTCATAACTGCCTGTGAGAGCATTCATTCAGTGCAGGACACAAAACAAATAGAGCAACTCAGCAAAGTCTGGAAAACTTAATGACTCAAGACATTTAATTACATTTCTGTCCAATCATTAGCTCACAACTAATGTAACTGAGCAAAGATTTCAGTGGCCATACATAACAGCCTAGGTAATTATATAAATCTTCTTCAAAATTAAAAACTTTCACTCACCTAGGACACTATCAAGAAAATGAAAAGATACCCCAAGAATGGGAGAAAATACAGGCAAATCATTTATCTGGTAAAAATTTTATATACAGAATACAGAGCTATTATAGTTGAACAAGGAATAGACAACTAATCCAATTAAAATAATGGAAAAATAATTGACCAGATAGCTTTCAAAAAGACTTATAAGTAGGCAATAGTACATAAAAAGATGTTCAGCATTTTAATCATTAGGGAAATGCAAACCATAATGAGATGCCATTTCATACCTAGTAGCATGACTAAAATAATAATGAATTTAAAAGATGAACTGAAACAACTGATGTAGAAGATGTGGAAAAATTGGAACCTTCAAAACTGCTGATGGGTATAATAAGTGGTACACCCACTTTGGTCTACAAGTAGCAATTCCTCAAATAGTTAAATAAACACATTTATCTAATAATTTTATTCCTGGCAATATGCACAAGAAAGTAAAGAAAAATAACTTTGCCTACACACAAACTGTATGTGAAAGTTACAGCAGCATTACACACAATAATCAAAAAGTAACAATAACTGGGCCTCCCCTGGTGGTGCAGCTGTTGAGCGCTGGGCTGCAAAGCTGCCCACAGCCTCTGCAGTGCCAGTTCAATCCCCAGCTGCTGTCGAGGTTCCCCACACAGGGTCCCACATGGCGCGACAGACCTCTCCTACCGCGCCCACTGCTGCCCTCAGCAATGTATTTAGTGAGTCGGCCTGCTCTGTTCCCGGCTCTGGCTCTGGTGAATTCTCCCACCCTCCCATGCTTCTGACTGCCAGTGCTTGTATAAATAAATAAATAAATAAATAAATAAATAAATAAATAAATAAATAAATCTTGAAAAAAAAAGTAACAATAATTTAAATGTCTATAAACAGATTTAGATAAGCACAATGTGGTATATTTATATACATTGAATAGTATTTGTCAATGAAATAAATAGAATGCTTGTATATACTACAACATTGATTAAACTGAAAGCATTATACTGAATGAAAGAAGTCAAACATAAAAGTTACAAGTTGCATAGGTCTATTTGCACGAAATTTATAAAATAACCAAATCCTTAATTGTGGAGGATAGATCAGTTTTTGCCAGGAGTTGAGGAGGGTGGAGTTATGGGAAATGACTCCTAATAGATACTGAGTTCTTTTTTGAATAACATAATATTCTAAATTTTGAGAGATTTGTTCCTTCCCATCTACTGCAATCAAGATTCTTCACCCAATGATCAGAAAATTATCCAGGAATGTAACTTTGAGACTATCTAAAGTACTTTATTGTACCTGATATATGTTAAAATAGTGTCTGTGTTCTGATACTTTCTTATCTATGTGTTTTTGTTCATGCTGTTTTTTAATCTTTCTTCTAAACGGAAACAGTACCTTCCAGCCCCTTCAATACACAAATTTTTAATCATCTTTTCAAACAGTTTTTATTTTTGAGTAGCAAAACTTTTATAATAGTCACTCACTCTGGATAAACATGAATCTTTTCACTGCAGTTAAAATAAGTGTGAAGGGCCTCCCCTGGTGGCGCAGCGGTTGAGCGCTGGGCTGGGGAGGCTGCCGTAGCCTCTGCAGCGCTGGTTTGTTCCCCGGCCGCCAGCGACGGTCCCACAAAAAAAAAAAAAAAAAAAAAGTCTGAAGGTTTTGGTGATTAAATATGTCAGGCACTGTGTGAAATAATTTAAATGATCAAATTTCATCCTTTAAACAACCATTTTAAAAAACACTACTAAGGGGCCTGCCTGGTGGCGCAGCGGTTGAGCGCTGGGTTGCAAAGCTGCCCGCGGCCTCTGCGGCGCCGGTTCCATCCCCGGCTGCTCCCCGGCCACTGGAGGAGGGTCCCACATGGCGCGCAGACCCCTCCTGCCGCCCGCTGCTCCCCTCAGCAGTGTACTTCATCAGTCTGCCTGCTCTGCTCTCCCCTCTGGCTCTGATGAATTCTCCCACGCTTCTGACTGTACCCAGTGCTTGTATAAATAAAATAAATAAATAAATATTAAAAAAAAAACCTGGAATATGATGTTGTCAAGTTTGAAGTCACCAGTTTTTATGGTACCAATGTCTATGTCCCCTACCAATTCATCTGTTGACATCCTAATGACTAATATAATAGAACAGGAATTTGGGCCTTCAGGAGGTGATTATGTTATGAGAGCGAATGGGGTTATCCCATAGAGTTCCGTTACCTCTGCTGTTGAAGGACACAGCAAGAAGATAATGGTTATGAACCAGCAAGAGGGCCATCACTTCAAAATGAATATGCTGGTGGCTTGATCTTAGACTTCTCAGCATCAGAAATGTGAGACATAAATTTCTCTCATTTATGTTACTGAGTGTTATTTTATTGTAGCAAACTGAATAGACCAATATAGCAACCACATGAGAGGTCTAGATTAGCACCCGATAAGAATGCAGGATTCAATTACTTTTGCTCTTTTTAATTCTTGCATTTATTATTTTTTTTT